AGTACAGGTGAACAGATGAAATAGGTAATATACATGTTTGTATTACAAACAGCTTTAAAACTACTCTAATACAATGGTTCGGTAATCAACATGATCGAAAATGATGTGGTCACCATGGGCAGGTATCAGGCCTTCAGCGGACCCAACTCATGGTCGCGTTAGCCAGGTGGTCACCTTGGAAAGGTTGCTTAATGCTTGTGTCACTGGGGAAATTTTTTGGGACCGAGAAAAAGCGGTCACCAGTGACAGGTGGCCTGCTTGAAGAGGTTGTCTCCTTGGCAGGTTTGTACTGGTGTGTTACGCCGAAAGGCGGTTATACCGGCTATACAGATACAGATACTGCACAAGGCGTCTGTCGTCTCTGCCACCACCAGTGTAAGATTAGATCTTCGTTGAGATCACTTTCAAGGTTCACTGTCTTTCATCACTTTTAAGTGAGAAGCAGACTATAGTGTCTAAAATTCGTGATCACGTTAACCTTACCCAGTTGTTGGACTTACTTTGTATATTTATAAGGTATTATGTACATGGATGTCAACGAGATAACTATATTTTGTACAGCTTTTTTCCGAATGACATATGCAACATCCATTCAAAGAACTGCCTTTTCTGTGCAATAAAAAAGCACTGGATAAAGCTCGTCGCACAATTTACCACAAAACCAATAGAATTACGACTATACGAGTTTGCTACCAAGCTTTGGTTTAAATCAAGCATTTCGTTTTGCCCTCATGCCATTTCGTCATTTATAAATACTCCTTGATGACTGCCTATAGACTTGGTGTTGACGCTGGGGCCTTAGATTGGAATGTTACCAGGGAAAACGCCCCGGGCAAGAACACTCATTTTTGACGCGGCTGGTCGTGGCCTGGTTACCGGACCTATCATAGCTGCCGTGTCCTTCATGTAGGTTAATGTAGCTATAATAGGTTTGGTCACGAGGCTAGCTGGTCGTACTCACCTGCATGGCGACTCAGCACGAGGGCAGCCGCAAAGAAGAAGAATCCGCCTCCCTGCATGTTAACCAAAGCCTCTAGTTTAGCAACGGGGTACGATAGCGAGAACGTCTGTTAGATGTGAAGTTTTCTTCTTGGTTTGGAGACTTTTGAGTGAGCGACTTGGCTTTAAAATCTCTGTAGTTGATCCAGGTATCCAGGGCTTGTTACAAAGTTAAGTGGATATTGGAGATTAGCGGAGATAAGTTGATTTTTCTATTTGCAACAGTAGTTTTTTGTCGCGGTTGTTTTCTCAGGATGAAATACAGGTTAATTGATTTAAGGGTATTACCGTTCCTGATAAAGCATGGGACAGGCTCTATTGTGAACGATCCAGTTTGTTCTGGACGCCGTTCTTTCCACTTTCTCAAAACTAGTCTGTCTGCTTTATTTTCTACAAAGATGGTGGGAATTTTTCCCAACTGTTGACGCAATCCCGGTCTTACCGACATCCGGTTTGGACAAGATTTTACCAGCTCGACTGTAGTTATTGTTTGTTGATTGCGTGTACTTTAATCGTGCTAGGGGAAGACGAATACGACGTAATGCCCCAAAGTGCAGTAGGCTTAAGACCAGCTAATGTATAAAAGTTTATTAGCAAATTCGTGCCTGAAAGATATCCGCAGGTACGTGTACCTGGGAATCATACAAGTGGTAGAAACACAGCACATGTGAACAAGGACAGTGACTGGAACAATATACTAATTCAAATACTGGTCATTGTAACAATAGATTCATTCAAGTACCAGTGACGGCTATATCTAGACAATTCGGTTTGGTCTCTCTCTTTTTCGGAAACAGGGGAAGACCTAGCCTCTATAGCATGCCAAAAACTGGGGGGGGGGGTCTTGAGGGTCTTTGTGAGCTTTTATGTGTTATTTTCTGATTGCATATAGACAACATAGACGGCGTTTAGAAGTGGGCTAATCAGAAAACAGCCTAAGACCACCAAACCCCCAGTTGTATAAGCCTGCTACGGAGGCTAAGGAATACCATTTTTCAAAATCAGCGCGAGAACTCATTTTGCTGAGAGTACATTGTAGTAAGGAGACGAAGAGGGCGGCCCTGTACGAGATGGAGAGACAACCTAGTTCAACACCTAGGGCCTACATGCGAGAGCCAGCTAGGGCCAGAACCGCGAGACTACCAAAGAGCTGTCAGTCGAGGGGGGACTTCCCTCGTAGAAGTGACTGATAACACATTGGGACATGAGAGATTTCCCGCGCTGATTCTGACGGAGGTGTTCGAAGTAGAACAGGGGGTTCGACGCGTTCGAACAGGAACGGTCTATTCCATACATGCATTCGCTGATCCCTCACGTCTTTCTTGTCAAAACCAAACATGACTAGGCCGGTAAAAACCCTTCGAAATGTAAATGAAATTAACGTCCTGACCACCAACCGGGCTGTCTTTATTCAATCACCCAGGCATTCTGATGAAGTCTTGAGTAACGCGAGACAAGCCTGAGTGAGGAAATACACGCGAAGCTTGCGGCGCGTCGGTTCTATAGAAATGGAGTTTTAACTCAGTTAAAACTGAGCTGACAGATATCTTTCAGTGTTCTTAGTCATTCACAGGTGATTACCGTCTCGGGTAATTCAATCAACATTGTCCCACTTACGGGACTATTGTAACAATGTAAACTTTCTTTAGACACATCAAGACGGATCAGGGTTTCAAATTCATTTTTGGAAGTTACGTGCACTGGTAACATTACACCTGACCAAATAAATTAGGTGCACAGAAAAAAAATGTTTGACAGCAAAAGTTTGAGAGAACATCCTAAAACAATTTGTATCAGCAACGTCTTTGTAGAAACATTACTGCTTCTCTTAAGAGGTTGAATTTGAAATTATTCTATTTTACTAAATTTTATCATTTTTCTGACACGATTAAATGTCAAGATTTTTTCGCGTTCTATTGTACAATAATGGTAGGCACGTTCATCGCATCCTCCTTCGCAGGGCTAAAATCCTCCGGTTCCCTTCCGGTTTTAGCCCTGCTATTTACCGCTGACAGTTTGACTTCTGGTGACGTCACCGCCAAACTGCTGTCAGCCAATCAGAGAATTTGCGCACCGAGCTTTGCGCAAAAACCGCAAAGGTCGCTGGGAACCTATTAGCCAATCAGGTTACGTCTTACATTCCCATGTTGGGACAGGCCAAGATGGCGGCTATTACAGATACTAGAGTTTCGTGCGAGCCGTGCAAGAGTCGAGCCGTGCAAGAGTCGAGCGGCTTCGTGAGCATCAGCAGTCGATGCTACAGGCGCTGCTTGATGGCAGAGACGTTTTTCTGAGTGTGCGGACAGGAGGAGGGAAGAGCCTGTGCTATATGGGCTTCCCAGCAGCGGCCAAAGCCCTGGCCAAAGCCGAGACAGAGTTAGGGCAAGCCCCCCGACATCTGATTGGTTTGTGCCAAATAAGGCAAGCTCATGAATTATTTATAAGTGACGTCACCAGAAGTCAAACTGTCAGCGGTAAATAGCAGGGCTAAAACCGGAAGGGAACCGGAGGATTTTAGCCCTGCGAAGGAGGATGGTTCATCGTGGAACTTACCAGGAAGTTATTTTGAAGTCCACGAAACAGGAAGGCTTCTGGAGAAGAACTTATTTCATCAACCGCATTTATTGTAGAAACATGAAGTTAAACAACAAAACAACATACGTCAATGTCCTTGTCTGTCAAGTTTTAGTAAAACGTGTATCAGTTCAATTTTACAAGTAGCAGGATTATGCGACAATCCGTTGTTCATATATTGTGTTTAACGAAGAACCAACAGAGCATAGTACACATCTGTTCTATAGTACACATATCGTAGCTTTGATATATTTTCACATGAATTACCCAACCAGAAGAAAACTGTAGTGTGTTGAAACATTTAACACACGTTAAATGGCATTTCCTATCTTCAATTTCGTCCTATATCCATACCTGTTGCTTTAGGTGAGCTAGTGGAAAAATACATACACAGAATATATAACATTTTGGCCCAATAGCCTATTTTAGTATGTTCTGGAGTCCGGTTTGTTGACCAAGAGAAGTTTCTACAGTCCAAAAGGGAATCTGAATTCAATGGTTAACAATACTATTGTGAAAGTAAGGTTGTTATAAATATTATACGTCTTTCCTGATCGAACATGATAAGCCCCGCCCCCTGTTCGAAATAGAACGGGAGGTTCGACGTGTTCGATCAGTTCCGGTTCTATTGGCTTGTTCCGTACAACATTTCAGTTTCTCTCCCCCCCGACGTGCAGATACAGGGTGTCAACCCCCTCTCTGTCCAACCAGTCTTTTGGCGCTAACCGTCGTGGTCGGATTTCATTTAAGGGAATCTCATTTATCCCGTATCAGACACAGGAAGGCAAGAAACATTAAAGCTGCCACGGTTCCGGCAAAGACATTCTACAGTTCCGGGACATTCTTTCTACGTCTCAGAATATGCATATGTCAAATTTCAACACACGTAAACGCGAATGTTCCGCCTTGCTGCGTCTTTGCAGGCTCACATAGCTACACAAATGGCAAGTGAGGGATTCGATTTGCCTGATTTATAGGCTTACATATTTTGATCTGACAATATAACGAACGCTACAGAGATACAAAGTTATTCATCCTGTTCATATTTCAAACAGCAAACAAAGAAACAAAAATATACAATATCACACAGATAACAAACACTGCATACCGGATTGAACAAAACTTGCATTTTTTTGCACAACAATGCTAAACGTTTGCCTGTGTAAAAGAAACTGTTTATGTACATAGTGTCACCAATTTCACACATCCCATAATGCCTAATAAAGATCATGAATATGGATGGGATATGGCGTAAGAAGGGGATATACGTAATGCGACCGTGCGAGTAGGAGAGTCTTCGGTAGAAGGTAGAACGATAGAAGGTACGTGATGTTCTCTAATTCCAACAAAAATGCAATTATGGCATGCGCTTTATACTAGATAAATAATTCAAAACAATATAGTTGACCAGTTTGTCGATAGAACTTGTTGGAAATATTACATCGAGGAAGGGGGAGGGGGTTGGCCATACGTCATATCCGTGATCTTTACTAGGCATTATGGGAAGTGTGAAAGGGCTGTAGACTACTGCAGTGTGCGTGTGACGTAAGAGACCAGCATGACTGCCAGCGCGGTGACCCAGAGACAGGGTACCGCCGCCGTGGCGTCCCCGCCCTGTCCCTCGTTGTGCCCGGTCATGATAAAGTCGTTACAGTCGTCAACGTCGCTGCAGCATTTCATGCACACCTGGAACAAAAAAAAAAAAGAAAAGAAAAATGAACATTAAGAAAGATTTGTGGAAAAACATATTTAAGAAATTTTTTTTTTAGCAAAATCTATTTCTGAAATACCCCCGGTGGTTTGCATATGTCTTGAAGGTGGTGTCACACACCTTTCGCACAGGTAAAAGTGCTATGGGTTGTTGTCCACTGTGTCCAGAGCTCGGTATTGGGCACAGACAAGGGAGGGTCCGCCTTTTACCTCCCAACTGAAGTCAGGTACGGTACTCTTTATATCTGGATGGAGTGCAAAAAAGCCGTGCCTTCCCAAGGGAAAAAGATCGGCGATATGTCGGGATTCGAACCGAGGACCTCCGGGTTCTTGACCAAACACCCTACCGTTACACCACACCACACCACACGACACCACTTCACCTGACATATCAATGGGATACAATGGTCCGTACCTTCGGCCGCCCTTGTGGCGTTTCGCACGCCTCTTGTTCCCAGTAGCTGCTACACACGTCCCCGCAGCCTCGCTCCACTCTCAGCCCAAACGAACTGCCAGCCTCTCCAATCCGCTCGACCTAGGGAACAGATATCACCAGTACGTTTAAACATATATTGCTGGCTATAGTTTAATGCACTGAAAGAAGACCTTATAAACCTACTTTCCAAGATTTCAATCTCAAAAAATTCTCCTGCACCAGAAAGTCACAAGGGTCTGCCTCCTATATCAACATCTAACTCCTGCTGGCGCACGGTCAGATTCTAGGAGCTTCAAGTTCGTGTTTACTAAACATTTCCTGTTAACTAATAGACCTTTTAACCTGTCTTTTTGTCTGTCAATCACTCCCCACCCACACGCCCTCAACCTACTCTGTCCGAAAAAAAACATACACACAAACTAACAGACGACCCACCCAAAACAATACCTCCGTACCCGGAGGTGAGTGACCTTACCCAGCAGTGTTCGCCGTCTTCACAGGTAGTCGAGGCGACGTTGGCCGGATTGCTGATGCAGTCTCCCGTTCCGTTACACGTGTAGCATGACAGTCGGTCTGCGGGATCTGACGTTGTAGTGAAGAAATACACAGAAAACACGTAAATCAAAGTGTCAAACAGTATGAATTTCTTTCAAGTATACATGTAACTTTCTTATAACGGAATACCTTAGCTGTATGTGTAAGTCCAATGTATTGTGACATTATGATGTTGCAATTTGAATAGATAAAACTAGAAAGGTAACATTTGCAAAGCAAATGCATAATGTTTACCTTAGCATATGGCCTATTCTGTTAATTCTTACTCAAATACATATATATGGTGACAGGAGTCTAAATCCCTCCTGCTATAAAATTGTAACATGATGTAACCCAAAACTAGTTACCATGGTGACAGACGTCTGGTTCAGGTCATTGACATTATTCGTTTGAATAAGAAGAAGAGGAAACAGAGCAAAAACAGTATGTCTTCCTTCGGTAAACATAATACTATAGTAAGATGAAAAATGAAATAACTAGTTTTAACCATACCTTCCGTGACAACAGTGATGTTTGAGAAGACAGTGGTGGTGGGCTCCTCCGTTGTCGTTGGGATGGTGGTCGTCGGAACTGTAAAGGCGAAAAAACAACCGCAGAAAGGTTAGGAATAAACTGACTAGTAGCTGTATAGTCATAGAATCTCCATTCCCTGCCAATATCATTCCCAGAACTACCAATAGGAGCTCAGCATTCTTCATCACTATGGGAATCGGCCCAATAGGGCTCAGGATTCTCTGTCACTATGGAAACCAGTTACCGTGGTAACAGATAGTTCTCAGTCTGACAGTGACTGGCAGATGTATTGATCTGTCTGACCCAGAGGTGTTGGCCATTAAGTTGGGTGACCATGCAGTGGCAGGTCTGCTCGAAACGCGATGTAGTCAGGCTAGGGGCCTGAGCAGTGGGAAGGCTGCTAGAAGCATGATGTACTAGTATATACAGGCTATAGGGTGGATCGAATCTCAGAGAGGATGTGGACTTGGGAGCTAAAATAGGTTTGGTAACCAGGCTAAATCAGCACGTCGGCAAAACGTACAGAACGTACAGAACCCCGTATTTTCGCGTTTTTCGTGGGGTTCTTGGTCAACGTTGCATCAGAATTTTGCCTGTTGCAGAGGATATTCTTTCTTACATAACATTTGGAAACTTCTGTCGAAATGCTAACCTTATATGAGCGAATACAACCTTATATGAGACGTTCTGCCAAAATGCTATGTACAATACATTACGGGTTTCAGGTGCAGAATGTTCTGCCGACGTGCTGGCTAAATCGAACTTGGACAATCAGAAACACGACAACTGAGTTGATGCTCACTTAGGCAGAGTGCGTCCGCCTCGTCGTCCCCCGTGCTGCACTCCTCCGTGCCGTTACAATTGGCCTCCACCGGGAGACACGCGTAGTCCGCCGCGCACAGAACCTGGTCTGGGGAGCAGGGGATCCAGGACAGGGAGAACCCGTCCTCGGCGATGGGCCCGCTCACCGACAGCTCCGCTTCGTTGGTGTTGACGATGAACGTAGTAGTTCGGTTGCAGATATCGTGGGTATTCGAGCCTTCAGTCAGCTGTAGAAGAATGTTATGTTTACTTATCAAGTCACTTCAAATTTTTGTCATTTTAACAATTTGCATTGACATTTTTCAGACATTTTTTGGGAAATCTTTTTCTAAAATATTTTTTTCCAAAAAATATTTTTCCAAAAAATATTTTTCCCAAAAAATATTTTTCAAAAGAAATTTAAAAAAAAAATTTCCAAAAAATATTTTTCCAAAAAATGTTTTTCCAAAAAATGTTTTCCCAAAAAATGTTTTTCTAAAAGCATATTTTCTAAAACATTCAATATATATAGCTTTACTTGTTTGATTGCAATCAAAAGCGAATAATACAAACAGAAGTCCAGAAGGAAAAAAATACCTCGGCAGAAGCGGTAGTGCAGTCGACGCCTTCCCCTGCTGTCGCAGTGAAGATGAGCTGGTATCCTGCGGGAGCCGCGAAGTCCCAGTCACAGGCGACGCCGGGCGGGAAGAAGGGCAGGCTTCCGTTCGGCGAGGACACGCTCCCGGCAGTGGAGGCATCGATGCTCTCCCCACATGCTGCCAGGCAGAAGAGGAATACATTTTCCCTTTTACTTACGGATCATCCTTTTACAGTTTTGAGACTAATTGTGAAAATATATGAGCTTTACGCAGAATTTTATCATCAAAACTGGTCGTTATGTATCTGACTGATCTTTTCGACTTTAATTATTCTACTCGTGTCCTATCAGTAATTCTAAGGGATAGGGGTTGGGACTTGCGCTCGTTGAATTTCATTTACTAAACCCCAATTAGCTTGTTTCGATTTTGTATATTTGTTTATTTGTCCATATATTGTTATAATCAGTATACCTCTGTTTAATCATTCTGTGTAGATGGCGCCATTAATATACGTTCCATGGAACAAAACTAGGACCATCACAACAGCAATATCAAAAGTTTAAAGTTAAAGACTTTAATAAGTCCATCTGCAGTGCCCACGTTTTCACCAATAAGCCTTCGTTAAGACTCCATAATATGGCGAGGGTTTGAGATCGGGGAACTCTAGTTAGGCCACACCGTCTTAATCTTGTGGATGACATCCTCTAAAGACCCCCAAACTAGTGCGCGCGGGCGAATAAAAAAATTCCGGCCAAAAATAAAAATGCTACTAAACCACAGGAATTCGTGGCAGTATACGACAAGTCGGCACATGCTGGCTTTTTGCGGAATTTATGAATCGGCACTGTACGTATGTACTGAGTTCTTGAGTCGGGGAGCTTCGGTAGCCTGGGTACCCGGCTCCGTATTGTCTCTAACCACCATGGACTACCCAGGCCTAGAGCCAGGCGCTAGGGCAGAGCCTTGGTGGACGTAATCTTTGGTGAATGTCATCCATAAAATTAAGTCGGTGTGGCCTTATTAATAGCTCTGTGATGATTTCAGGTGAACTCACTGTCGAGCCCGTACGCCGCCAGACACCCCGTCTCGTCCTGGAAGTCTGCGCACGTCTGCGTGCCGTCACACTCCTGGGCGGAGGTGAAGCACACCGGAGCGTCGTCACACGAGGTGGTGCCGTCCACGCAGGTGGTGGACCAGTCTACCGCAAACCCGGCCCCGGCCACACTGTAGTCAGACCTAGCGAGAAACAACATATCATTTAGAAAGTTTAACATGAGGTGGACAACATATCATAAAAGTTTAACATGAGGTGGCAAAGTCGGCCGCGTTCACACTAGTCGGAGCTAGCGAAAAACAACATGTCATTAAAGCCTCGGTCACAACCCGCCGTACGTGCTTTTTCTCCGTACGTTTTTTGGGAGGCTACGTCTGCTACGTTTTTTTCTTGCCCACGTATATTTCATAATGAAAGCAACTTTTTTTTTACAAACTTTTTTTTATTCGCACGCTCGAATCAGTTTTCGGGTTCCCAGAGGATGTCATCCATATAATCAAATCAACATGGCCTAAAGATATGTGTAGGATGCGAGAATTCGTACTCACTCGAAAGCTAGGTACACTTGGTTTCCGGTCGCCTGGATGTCGGCGGGAGCAGTTGCGCCGCAGAGCCGCCCCAGCAATGTGGATGCGGAGGTCGGTCCGTCATGGACCTGATGTGAAAAAAA